CATTGATGGCGTCAAAACGGTGCGCGCTTTCCCGTGATGAAGGTCATTGCAAATGGAACCCTACATAGAAGTAAATGGGAAATCGATATTCCAGTGAATGCGTTAACTTCATTTTTGACAGAGGAAATACTCCTATCGTCGAGAACAAGTACTGACTAGACGGTCCATTTTTATTTATATAGGAAATGAATCAACTGCAAGCTTTATGAAACTTGTTTGTGGTTGAGGCTCATTAAAATTTAAAGTGCATTGAGTCTTGGTATTCGATAATTCCGCCAAAGTTGGAATTCCGTTAGGGTACCGCCTCTTGCTGAATAGGATTATGTTATTGTTTATGCCAACATAAAATATACAAGTATTCTTGCAGAACTGTTACAGTAGCATTTGAAGAATGGTATTGCTCATCGCATTTCAGATTTAAAATATTTTGATTTCACAGGTATCTTTTAATCTAGAGCTCGTCGTGCTGCAAAAGATGCCACTGATTCTCCCGGTGGTATTGCATTGCCAGAAAAACCTAGAGTCGAACCTAAAAAATTCGTCAAGATCGGAAGACCCGGATACAAAGGTACGTAGGTCTTCCTCCCTTAATTTTGTCAAGTCATAAGAGATCAAGTACAGCAGTAGTTGCTACCAGCAAAAGCACATCTTTTCCATCCATTGTTTTATAATATCATAAAGTAAAAAGAAACAAATGTATATATTTATAGATTGCTATAGACAGATGTGCAGATTATGAATGAGCATTCGTTGTGTATCTTCGATTCTTGGCTTCTTTTTAGAACGGCGTAATTGACTGTTGGTAGAGCTATTTGAGCTGTTATAATGTTAAACGGAATGCAGTGATAGTGATTTTTCGCGCTAAAGCTTCGAGTGCTGAGGGTTGGTGTCCCAGAGCAGCACACTATGGTCAAGACCACAAAGCTGCGTGATTGTGATTGCATCAGTGCGGCGCGACACTTGTTATACGGAGATTCCATTGATCCCTGCAACTGACGTTACTACTCGCGGCAGTGAGCAGAAGTTTTCCTTCATCATGCAAAGATGTCTCACTGGGCTTGTAAATGATCAGCAGTACGGTACACCCTGAAATGAGGAGGCATACTTGTACAATGAGCGGAAAGAACTGTAGGTTTACTTAATAAAGTTTCTGACTGGGTGCAGATCACAAATTTTCTGATTTCATAGCTCTCATAACACCGGATTATTTTGCAGTAAATTGCAGGTTGCACCTTCTGCTAATTTTTAGTCAGCCCTCACGTGGGCCAACTCAAACTGCTGCCGTAGAGCACATTCTCAGGCAGCATTTCTCTTATAGGCGCTGGTGTGACCATTCTGGAACACCATGCTGTTAATGAAGTTCTTTCCCATTTTTAATTTTCTTTGTTACACTGAATCACTGATGGTTGAATTTTTATTCAGGCGGAGATTTACGGTTAATAACAGATCATGCTCTACTAGAGATTGAACCTGTACCTCTA